GTTCATGTTGATCAGAAACTCTACTGGTGTTCATGTTGATCAGATCCAGAGGGTAGACGGAGCAGTGGGAGGTTTCTACTGTAACGTCACTCCTCATTATGTGACTGTACAGCACAGAATTACTCTCGTCATCACTTCTGTCTAAATGCTTCCTTCCATCTCCTCCACTCTTAAAGAATAACGTCCATATTATTCAACCTGGACTCTATTTTCCATATTTTTGTGACTATTGGGGAATAAAAAACGTTTGTCCGTCCACTCAGAGAGCTTGTTTCTGATCAGTATAATGAGTGTGTGACAACATCATGGAAAGAACCCAAAAGATCCCGTCTATTTATTCCATCGGAGAAGTCTCGTTCTGGAATCTTGCGTCACATCCACGTTGTCGAAGTCATCTAAATATGTGTATACATCTTTCAGATTACACTAATATGCTTTCTGTACTCTGACACAACACACTCTGCCGCTCTCGTTTCCACCTTGTGTTGTCTTCTGGCAACACAAGCTTTCAGAACGAGACTTCTCTGAGTGAAGCTCTTCCCATCATTCTGTCACACTTATAACAACAATGTGAGCCGGTCAGCAGCAGAAACGAGCTGTTAGTGGACGTTAATGATGGCGAGGAGTGATGTCATCGCATCGTAGCGACTTCAGCACTCTCGCTTCATTTCATCTTCTCATAGACTTCTATACAAGCAGAGGAGTCGCCCCCTGGTGGACATTAGAGAGAATGCAGATTTTCAAGATACTTCCGCATCTACTTTAAGTCATTTTGGTGAACCAACCCTCGAGGTTAATGGAGATCTGGAGATATTAAACACAGATATGGCTGTTGTTCATACAAAGTGAACTCAAACGTTACTTCAAACCGACAAAACGTACAGTGTGTTTTTCAAAAGGCTGCCGGGTGAGACGGAGAAGTGGCTACATGAGATCACCTCGGTGTAACAAAGCAGTGACTTTAATGACGTCTGGGGATGAACCAGTAAGTCTGTGGTCAGTTGGTCGGTTGGTTAGTTGGTCGGTTGGTCGGTCAGTTGTTCAGTTGGTCCAGGCGTACGCGTACAGGCCGTTCTCCTTCCACAGCTGACACTGAGCCGACGAGTAGTTCTGGACCACAGACAGCCGGTCGGACAGGAGAGCAGTGGCTGCTGGGTATTCTGGCCACTCAGCCTCCATCTTACCTGCAAGACGGAAGAAGAAGTGTGATCCACAAGAAACTTTACACGTAACGATCCACAACTTTGTGGTCATTTTACTTCCATATTTGACTTTTCTTGACTTGTTCCAGACCAGAGAGATGTTCAGATTAAATATTTGTGTTTTCTTTTCTGTGCTTGTTTGTGGAGCATTGGCCCCAGACGGAGGAGCTATATGAGACCATGTTCAGAGCAGAGCAGTCAGTTAGTCTCTGGTGTCTGCTTGGGTTTATTTCTTTGCTCAAAGAATAAACTCTATTACAGTGAACTCTGACCGTTTCCAGTGATATTTGTGAACATTCTTCAGGACTCCAAATGCAGCAAAACACCAGACTTCATGGACTGGTCCAGTCTGAGCTCCTGTTTTCCAACACTGATTACTACATCTCTTAAATGTGTCAGTTAGAGGAATAGTATGAAAACCGTTTTAACACTTTTAATCTCCTAAATACACAAGATATTAGACGAGTCAGGTGGTTTAAACACGATGAGTGTCTCTTTGTTTCTTGTATGAGGACATGGTTTGGTGTGTTCTTGAATTTTTTATTATTTTAATGTCAAATTAAAAATGATCAAATTACAGACTTCCCTCTGTAAAATGCGTGCTGCTGAGGCAGGATTTTATGATTTAAAGGACATTTTCGAACACAGAACAACGTAAAACAAACACACACGTCGTCCACTACTTAAAGTGACAGTGCACCCGTGGGTCAGGGTTTGATGCTGCAGGTCTCAGAAGAGAAACAGAAGCAAACACATGCACAAACACACAGGAAGCATCTTCACCTGTTTTGGCGAAGTGGACGAGGTGACGAGTGACGACGTCCCGGAAGCTCTCGTCCCGATCCGAGAGAGGTTTCCCCAGAACGAACTCCAGCCCGCCGAAGAAGGCGACGACGTCCAGACAGTGGAAGGAGAAGCGGCTGGAGAACGGCAGCAGGTCGGTGGACACGTTGACGGGTCCCGAAGGCGTGTGCGTCACCACGTATCGGTACACGGGACTGTGGAGGGCCGCTAAACATGGGGAGAGGTTTCATTTTATATCAACAGGAAATAACTTTATATTAAAACAAATTCCATAAATCTGTAGAATCAAGAGTTTGCACACCAGGTGAGACGCTACACTGCTCCCGTAGCCGTGCCTACGGTGCATGAATGTGATGGAATCTGAATTGGAAGTCGCTTTGGATAAAAGCATCTGCTAAATGACTGTAATGTAACTAAACATCTCTTTAAAGGACGTTTTCTCTAAATGAGTTTGTTCTCAGACTCTGATCCAGAAACATTAATGTTTAAATATAATTCAATACTTGAATTCTGTCAGACTTCCTGTCTCAGCTCAAAGCCCATTGGTTCCTACTGAAGACGCACATCTCTCAAAACTCCTCACAGATAAAACAGCTGATCAATGTACTTTTTAATCAAACAAACCAAAATAGAGACTTTGTTGGGGACTATTTTCAGCGGCGGATGAATCCACGCTCAGAGGAAGAAGAGATATTAGAATGCACACACAAGACTTGTATACAATTACTGTTGATTTTGGATCTTTTCAATAAATATTCTCAGAAAAAACACATCTCCAGGCTTTAAGCCCTTCTGCTGAATTTGGTTTTTATTGAATATCTGAGTCAAAATGATTTGAGAAGCTTTTTGCTGAAAATAAAAGTGTGATGAGCCTTGAAATCCCTCATTCACCGTCAATCCAGATCGGCCATTATTCTGCAACGGGAATAATAACAGGCTGTGCATCATAAACCAAATCACCCAGCAAGCCTTGCAGTTGCCTGTCACAACAGCTGAATGTCAGTTGACTCAGAGCATCTCCGCTGACTGAGCTTAACAAGCCCCGCAGGCTAAAAGAGCTGCATGAAGCACAAAGTCATGGAGGAGCTGCAGCAGCCAATCAGAGACGAGACGCTCCAGATCTGTTTTTCACAATAAAACAGCTCGTACTGAACTAAACTAACGTCCTGTGTGAAGGCACAGAGCTCTACTGAGGGGACATTTAATATGAACACACATGAAGTGTTATGACATGATGACTCATAACACAGTCAGTTATGAACAGATGACATATGACAACAAGTTCAAAGGGTTTGAAATTAAACAATGACAATCTCTACAGATGAAGATAAAAACACAGTTCAAACATTAAGATGCAACGAAGAAAAGAGCCAACAAAGGTAGAAGAAGAGGACGAAGAGGAAGAGGTGGAAGAAGAAGACGACAATAGAGACAAAGATGAACAGGAAGAAGAAGAAGATAAAAAGAAGAAGAAAATGAACAGGAAGATGAAGAAAAATAATAGAAAGAAGAAGATGAAGAAGAGGAAGAAAAAGAAGACTTGCATGTAAACGATACTGAATCACTTTCTAAATGTTTAATGAGGAATAAAATGTCTTTTGTCAGAGTTCAAGGAGTCAACATGTTTTAATAAAACTGAATGTTTGTTTACAGGAAAACTACAACTCCCAGTGGAAGTATGGGAAAACACCTGTGACCTGAAATCCACTTATTTAATTCGTATTACAAACAACAAACAAAGTGAACCCTGTTAAAGTGAAGTCATCGCTGTCCAACACACAATCTCAACTCCGAAAAATTGTGTTTGAATGTGTCAACAGAGACAAGTTATTATAGTTATAGTATATTATAATGCCCTTTGTTAGGACAGAAAGGTGCAACGTTATTATCTCCTTTCCTTTGGTAAAGTGTTCCCTATGCTAAAGGAGATAGGAAAGGAAGCACTGAAGCACCTTCCTGTAGCTTTCTGTTCAGAGACTTTCAGGTCACTTCACTGCAGTAGGAACCTTTCTAATAAAGGAAAACTCTTCGACCGCAGCAGGAGGTCATGTGACTCTCTTTGATATATGTTCACATTCTATGTTTCATTTCTGTCATTTGATCGTCTTTACTGTCATTTCATGATGTTGTTTTATTCTGGACACACATCGATCATCCTCTGGTGAGCTTCCTAACATTTGTTCCCTGTTGGTGTTTTATTTGGGTCTTTTTCTTTTTCTCAATCGAGGATGCATGTTTGTAATTTTGGACTTTATAAATAAAACTAACTGTACTTGACTCATCACCAATCATTGATTTGCTCTCCATGTGGAAACCGATGTGCTTTTCTACCTGCAGCCCTCCGGGCCAGGTCGTTGTTAGGACAGGTGGCCCTGATGTCGGACACCATGGTGGTGTAGGCCCTCTCCAGACAGCGGTCCGTGGTGGGGCAGGGGACGGAGCTCGGATACAGCTCCAACGCCTCTGTGGGGAGATTCCCACTGAAGGACTGAAGTTTATCTGTGAGGAGCAGAGAGGTGACGAGACGATGATTCACAGGAATAACAGGAATATACTCCACCAATGATCTTTATAAATCCCCTTGAAGACTGTGTCGGTACTAAGGACACTGTGGGGTTCCACAGGGCTCTATTCTTGGTCCTGTACTATTTTATATTCATGTGCTTCCTTTGGGTCAGATAATAATACGTAGGTAAAATATGAATGTCCACTGTTATGCAGATGACAAGCGACTTTATGTTCCGCTGACTGGTAGTGACAAAGACAAATTCTTCTTACGTCATTGATTGTCTCTGTGATATCATTCAAATAGATTTGTCCAAATTTGTGGTCCCTTTCTTGGGCCCCATGAACCTAAACCTGGGACTTGAAAAAGACTCTAGACATACATCAGCTCTATCTTACAGCCAACCCTCTGAACCCCAAAACCCACAGGCAGAATGGAAAAGCATGTTTTCTTTAAACAATTGCCAAAACTACACTGTTCATCACAGCCAGAAGCTGTAAAAAACAGCACTATTGTAAGATTTTCATCCTTCCGACAGTCCTTGAACACATCATGTGTGACACATGCTTCTATCAGAAAACACAACAGCAGCAAAGCATAAAATTGTGATATTTCATCAAAAACTGTTTATTCACCATGTCTCATTTAAAATCTCGCCCCAAATAAATATTTTATTCTACAGGTCTTATTTAAAATTATGTGCCAAATAAACCGTTTACACTAAACAGATTCTATAAAAAAACATTACATTGTGAGCTCCTCAGTGAAACTATGAAGTCATGATTGATTCATCTGAGACCAACAGTCATGTGACAACAAGGAGGAGACACTTTGACTGAACTACAGGAAGTGAACACAGAGAGGAGAGGAGAGCAGAGAGGAGAGGAGAGGAGAGGAGAGAGGAGAGGAGATGAGAGGAGAGAGACGAGAGAGGAGGAGAGGAGAGGAGAGGAGAGAGGAGAGGGACGAGAGAGAAGGAGAGGAGAGAGGAGAATAATTTAATATTTATAACATGAAGAGCCTCCATTTTTTTCCAATATTGGTAACACTTGTGAACACTTGGGAACAAGTTATATAGATTCCATTGCTTGCCAATTTTTGTAAAATATATTATTAAAGAAGTTTTACTTGCTTCTTTTCTTTTTTTATGATTGATGACATCATAACTGTTATTCTGCACTAAAGACATGTTCTAGTTATCTCTACTTCTAGTCATGATGGTTCTGTTTTATAGAGGAGCAGAACTTTAGATTACAGTTCAAAATGAAGGCCACAAAGAAAAATGTGACAGGAGAGAAAGAAAGCCCTGAAACTGCTTTGAGTTCAGAGGGTTAACACTGATGTTCCCAGTGCAGATGTTACCTGTGCAGATGTTACCTGTGCAGATGTTACCTGTTACAAACCACTGGTAGTCCCTCCAGGTCCACATGGAGATGTTTGCAGCCACGGGGCTGCAGAGGGAAACACAGAACTCTCAGTACAGTCTGATGGAGGATCACAGCTGACGGAGATGAACCCTGAACCAGGTGAGCTCTCACCTGGAGTCCACCTCCTGCTCCGTCGTCCCGACGACAAAAGGAACGTCGCTGTGGCCTCCTTTCCTCTCCCACACCTCGAAAGGCGGAGCTTCCAAGACGTAACCGTCCACCACGGCGACCGGCCCAATGAAGCGCTCTCTGGTGGGGAGATCTGAGGAGTCTCCTGCGGCCCAGGAGGGGTAGTCCTGCCACGGGACGGCCTACGGGAATATTTAGGGATTAAAAGGTGCTAAGAGGAGAAAACAGAGCTCATGATGTGATGTTTAAAACCATAAAACTTCAGACACACAATCCAGAAGACGACTAGGTTATGAAAACATTTGGCTGTGGAGAAACACGAGCAGTCACACGTTTTAAACTACTAGTCTTGTACTTCTCATGTTGGTCAGCAGAGGGTTACATTAACTAAAGTACTGCTAGTGAAACTATTAGAATGGAACGTACAAATGGAAGAAAAATGGAGAGAAATAGACTTTAGAAGAACAATACAGCGACGGATTTAACATAACTCAGATATTTAAGTTGTCTGAACTCACATTTTATAGTCAACTAAATTCATCATTTTGAGTAAACTATGCTCAAGTTTATGACATGAATGAACTAAACACAATCAATTTCAGCTTTAGAAACAGTGAGCGATCCACCTCACTTAAAGTGTTTGGGCAAACTGTTTCCTGACTTATTTTAAAGGGAAGTCAACTTATTACAATTTTAAAGTGCAGCAAAATAAAACATGCTGTTCAAAGTCGAAGTGACATTTTAAAGACCGTAATAACCTCAACATGACTGATGCTCATATTAATGTTCAGTAGCAGCTTGTTTGTTATTTTATTTCATAAAATACACTATTCATAATTCATCTTCAGGTTATGGTGGAAACATTGAATTGAATAAAAGCTTTTTTTGAATTCAATAAATCTTAATGAGGTTTGGAAAACCTCTGTTGAGTTCCACAGTAACAAAAAAAATCTTTGAACTAAGTTTAGTCTCCACTTTCTTCATTAAAATGTAAGATTAGAAACTTTCATTCAGGTGCTTTGGACACAATAATCCATCCAAATGTCTCAATTTATCATAAAGATGAGCTATGAATCTGATATTTTGGGAAATCCTCAAACATTAGAAACTATTAAAAAGAGAATAACTACCGTGCTGTATTTCTTTTATAGCTATTAAATAACTTCAAAACTCCCTCTTAGCCCAGACAACCCGTCCGTCCGTGTCCTACCTCGAGGACCCGTCTGATGGACAGACGTCTGAGGCAGGTCCGGTCTCTGCAGCCCGTCTTCTTCAGGAACACCAGGTTGTCGGACTCGGCTCGCTCCAGAGATGCGTTGAGGACGGACGAGCCGCTCATGTCCACCGCTGCGCGGAATAGACCCTTCGCCAGCGGAGATGTCATCATGATCCACACCGATGTCCCACCTTCATAAACCATAAACCATATGGCACAAACAATAACCACGCTGACGTACTTACACTTAGATGACGTTATTTTGAGTGTATATGGAGCTGCTACAATGTTAGCTTAGCATAGCACCAAACTCTCAGAAAACAAGTCATTTAAAAGTTACTTGCATGTTGTTGGGATCTGACTATATGGCTTCGACATGTGCTGTGGAACAAAGAGTCAGGCCTTCCCTTTTGCAAGCAAAGGTTTCATCCTGATTGTAGTTTGAGCACCAAACCCCCAACTCTGAAGAAATTCACATTAGGGTGTGAGTTTCCCCCCCCAAAAAACTGTGTTCCTGAAGTCACCTGAAAGCAGCGCTGCAATCTAATTGGCCGAGAGCCAAGACACCCCAGGACCCCTGTGGTTCAGCCACTGTTCTACAAAACTACCTGCAAACCCCACCTCAATGCTTTTTCCCTTTGACCTCCGTCTATCTAGGGAGCACACCAACGTTGTTTCCCTTTTCAACCAAATCCTAGGTCTAACAGTTTATATTCGCTGGCCAAATTCACCAAACTGTCTATTTTATCTGTGTTCGTATCCACGAAGTGAACCCTTTTATTCCTGCAGAAGTGAAGAAGCAAGACTTCTTCAGAAAGAGAGAGAGAGAGAGAACTTCCACTCTCCACCAAGCGCCTCGTTTGCTCCGGTCATAAGGACGCGAAAAGCCCTGATCCAGACGAAGCGATTCTCTCCTACCGAGAGAACACCTCCCGCGGCCCGCAGCCGCGCTGCCTGAGCCCACCGAAGCTCAGAAGAACCCCTCAGAAGAACCCCCCCCCCTTAATCACCACGATCGCATCGTACCGTAAGGCGAAATAGAGTCTGGGCAGAGTTAGAGAGTTCATTTGTGTTTATTTTATCTTGTTCGTGTGCTTAAAGTACTGTTCGTTTTTATAACGTGGTGTATGCTTTAGGATCACCGACACTGGCGATCCCTAAAATTGCTAGTGTTGTGTAGAAGTTAGCGTGTATTTCATGCTACTGTGATTCGTGTCGAGACAGCCGCAGTGAGGTCGAAGTTGCTTCTCATCAGTTCAGGAGGTCAGAACCGCCGGCTGAGACAAAGAGTCGCGGTTCTTGCTCCCCTGGCTGAGAGAGCAATCTTCCGTACTCCAGCGCGGCGCGAAGGATCTTAATCTCTTGTTTTATTTCATTTTGTTTTGTTCCTTTCCCTTCTCTTTTACTAACACACACACACACACACACACACACACACACACACACACACACACACACACCTTTGAGCTAATGTAGCTACGTGCTAAACGGCTACCGGCACTAGACGCCAGGTCTCCTATTGGCTATCCGCCATTTTGACTCCGCATGAGAAACGTCACCACGACCCAACTACGTCATACGTCGCTGAGCTGTTCCCTCGCTCCTCCCCCTACGTACGTACGTACGTACGTACACAGACACACACACACTCCCCCCCCCCCTTTTCAACCGTCTGTTGATTTTAGATAGCGTGCTCATGAATGTATAGCTGTTGTTAGTTTAGATATTAGTTGACTAGATCATCAGTATTAGAACGTAATAAACTCTGTTATATTTTAAAGAGCAGCTGTCTGTGATTACTTTGTGTATTGTGATAATAGCTGTATATGTGGTCTGTGCTCGAACTTAAACCTTCACTTTCACTCTGAATGTGTAATAGTACTCAGACTGTTGACATTGTGAGTGAACACTAATTATGAGACTTAGTTTATCGTTTGGTTATTGGTCCCTGTTCGCAGGGTGGTGCCCCGTTATTAATAATCATTAATAATTGTTACTGACATTAATAATTCTATTGATGTCAAGAATTTAGTTTCTTAGATGCTGATAACCCAAACACGCTCCTTTACGTTCCCAACATATTGCTGATAACCCCTTTTTGTCAGGCTGTTATTCCCAACAGTGTCGTCTTGTAGAGACTTGAATTCAGACTTTTTACAAATCAGTATCATTCTGTAGTTATTTCTGCATTTTTATCCATTTATTGTAATTAACATTTTATAATGTTATTCTTTTATAAGTCTGTTATTAGTGTTTGCATGTGTGAAACTCCCATTGGTTAAATGAAGGTTAATGAATTCTCACAGCAGGACTCAATGACACAGTTCATACCTGAGCTCTGTCCCAATATGGTGACTTTCTCAGGGTCTCCCCCGAACATGTGGATGTTCCTCTGGACCCACTTCAGAGCTGCGATCTGGTCCATGAAGCCATAGTTCCCTGTAGAGGAGGGAGGATGGGGGGGGGGGGGGCGATTGACAACGATGTGACCTTGTTTCCGGGGTCCCATTTTTTCCGTCAGATAAAAAAGCAGCTCTCTGTAGCTCCCTGAACTAAATGGAACACGAAGAAATGGGGCCACGAAGGATTCCCTCACCCCCCCCCACACACACACACACACACCCCTCCATCGAGTCACGCGAGGATCTCTTCTCATTCGACGGGTCATTTCACATCAGGGTCACAGTGGGTTTGGATTATGTAACGTAATATATTAAAATTACACCCAGCTCGACTCACAAACACTCTAATTAGCGTCTCACAGTGTGCGAAGATGCAAACAACACAGAAGATAAATCCTCTCCATTTGTCACATTAACGTTCATTACGTATTCACATGTTAATGTAAGGGTGAAGACTTCTATTTCAAACAGCCATTAGGACTTCAAAGCAACAACCACATGGATGCTGTTGAAAGCTTCCTGGAGCCGCACTGTGAACCACAAACACTGTGAGCCACAAACACTGTGAGCCACAA